ACAGACAACCCCGTAACAATATGCGTTTTGTACTGCTGTTACACAGCACAAAACGCATAATAATTAGTTTTTTGTTGACGAACTACAGATATTCCATTAGAGCACTACTGAACTTTAAAAAACTTGGGAGGTAATAGGGAGACGGGAGTGAGGGGTTATTTTCCTAGCGATTATTCTCCTCCGTTACTAGCGCACTTTAAAGAGCCATCAGTGTGTTTCTAAATAGCTGTTGGAAGAGGTATCGCGACTCTAAAAGTTAACTTGCTAGACTAGTGGCGTGCCCTGTGTGTGTGTATGAGTGTACATTGGAACTCCCTAATTATATATTTATGATTATATATAAAACTAAGGTTACACAACACAACATGTAATAGCGGTAACAAAGAAAAGAGCTGGTGAGGTTCTGGAGAACCGATGCATAAAACAGGGTTAAGTCGTAAGGTGTGGCTCTAGATCCTGGAGGTGAGAAGTGCTTTTATACCCAATGGTCAGAAATCAGTAAGACTGCAAAACTTTAACAGGGGTGGGTTGTCCAAGGATTGAATCGGGGACCGGGGTATTGTATCATTAGTGATACAATCGTCCCTTACGCCATTTCTAACAAAAAACCGTATATCATTATTTGACATATTATGTGACAGAAGTCTCACCAGCATAGGACTGCCATTTACTACCACTGAATCCTTCTTGCCTCTTAGCGGGTAAATACGACGGGAATTTTGAATTGACTTTGATTATTATAAGCATCACTGCAGTTAGAAGGGGCAAAGACGAAAACGTACAAAGGAGTTTGCCAGTCAATTTGTATTATTGTTTTAATCAGGGGAAGTTACATTTTTCCCCCATATTTGAAGAAATTGATACCTTCTTGGGCGCAATCGCAATGTTTTTAAATTTAAAAAAGATTATTTTTTTTTAAGTTCTCCGCTCGAAGAGTTGTCAGCGTTTCATTATTAATCACCGCCGATAACTCGTTTTGATAACAAAATAGGACGCAAGCGAAGCACGTTTTTTCCGCATCAACACATTCGGTCTGCACAGCTAAATAGCGAACATAGAAATGGAAGCTATTGAGTTAAGCACTGAACTTATATTTTAAAAAAGTGAAATAAAATAAAATCTACTCAGTTGATGGGACCCTTACAGCGAACCCCGGCTATGATTTCTAATAATCTATACATTTTAATGAACTAGAATCCGTCCAATTTTAGCCCCTTTTGTTTTATGTATTACATGCACCTAGAGGTTATGCAGCCCTATAATGCGATATCTTCATCCCAACCGACGCCCTTCCCCACTGCATGCCGGAAGAGGTCAAAACATAGCCAATATTAGTGCATTTGTTAGGTTACAGCTCAGAAATCATTCCTGCTGTTAGCGATCTGCAAGTTTAGCGCAAAAACGCGTGACGGTATCGACAAGCCCAATGCGTCCCAGCCTGGCGTATCCCAGGTCCCTGGCCTATGTGAGATGTCAGAATTATCGGAAGAAACTGTTATATTTAATTTTTTTGTCATACTTGTTTCATAGATGAGAATGTCCGGGTAAATTCAAAAATTTATGACTATTTGCCAATAAATTATTAAAAATTCAGGCTGTGTATCATTTGCGGTAGAAGGGGGAGAGGGGCAAGGAGACACAGGGCGGATACATTTCATTTAAAATTTCGAAATTTCCTGGAAAAAAGTATCTGTCTCTAGATTTTTTGACCCTTTGGGTCAGATTGTTTAAGTTAGCAAATTATTATCTTACAGTCGATCAATACATTTTGTCTGCAAACACAAAAACTTCAAATTATGCGGTATTTTTTTGGACAGCTCAAATATTATTTTTTTTTTTTTTAAATTTCAGCCTCGAGAAAACGGGTATACACGTTTCCACAGGATACAGAATGTGCAATATTGTCTCGATTTTTTGAGGAAAAGAAATGTTGGTATTGCTGCTTGAATTTTTCCACTTAATAAAGCATAATTTTTGGAAAAAATACGGCAGCTTAAAATTTGAAAAACTTGCTGGTCTTTTTTTTTTTGTGATTTTGATAACGGTACAACTGGTAGTAATTAATCCATGTGGAAATAATTCGGAATGCAGTAGAACTACGACGGAGGAAGAAAGATGAAAAGAATTGAAACGACTAATAGTGATTCTCACCGAAAGGAAATTTGTGTAATTTCTTTATGTAAACAGGATTAGGTTGAGAATACATTTTTTTTTTCTACTTCGAGATTTACACGAAAACTGCAAAGAATCCTTTATCTTTTAAATTTCCTACGTAACGTGATTTAGATGGAAACTATAGAATTCTTTATTTTTTTAAAAACATTTCGATTTTTCAGATCAAAACAGTAAATATTCGACCAGAAGATATTGTTGAGGGGAACTCAAAGTTAACACTGGGACTGATTTGGACAATCATCCTGAACTTCCAAGTTTCTATTATCAAGCAACGACAACAGGAAGCAGGTGATCAGGTAAAAAACATTTTGAAGATTTCCACGATCTGTTGCATCGCAGTACTGGAACAAGTTGAGATTTTGAAAGGGATTCCAGTGAAGCGTTGAATAATTATGATTATAATGAATTGCCTAGATTTGCGAAACTTTCACAAGTACTTTTTTTTTTGTTTGCTCCTCTCATTATGGAGCCCCAGGATGAGAATGCCATTAAATATGATCGAAGCACTAGCACTGCCAGGCCCTAACAACTTCTCGCCACCCCTCCTCCCTCCTAAATTGCCATTAAATATGACTGGAACGCTAGCACTGTCAGGTCCTCCTCCCCTCTAAATTTTTCTTTTTTGTTTGCAGATGGTTGTAATTACCGTTTTTATTTGTTTGGAGTTTAACTACTCAGACAGTAACTTTAACTGTTACTAATACCTAGTCGTTTACTGTTTGACTAGTTTAAAATTATTTGGTAAGAAAAAGGACCGGTTTTGCTCTGCTCTTTTACAGTGAACTAATTTCAGTTGAAAGGGGGGGGGGGGAGGAGGGGGAGTTTTAGTTTGAATTATTATTAGTCAGGTCCTTGCATTAGTTCGAATTTGTTACCTCCGTTACTGTTGGATTGATTTGAGGATTTTAATCACAGTGGGGAGGCGGGGGAGAGAGGAGGGCGGGGGACGAGGAGGCGAGGAGGGGGGCTGTTAACCACAGTGGACCCCTTTTCAGGACACATTATTTCTCCCGCATACTACTATACCAGTATCTTTTAACCGTAGCATCTCTGGTTTAATCGTTTGTGATTGATTCTGCTGCAAAATTTTTGCCTAATTTACATATAAATAAGGACTGACGGCTCACTTTTTGCCGAAATCAAATGCACATCTCCACAGACCCACAATAATTTATGTATATGTGTTTGTCAGTCAGTGTGTACGTGTATGTGTATATGTGTGAGTGTAGGTATGTGTGCGTGTGTGTGCGTATGTGTGTGTGTGTGTGTACATCCGAATTGCGTCGAAAATTACAAAAACTCGTATGCACTTTATGAGAGTATGCTTTTCCCGCACTGTCTGGAATAACAGACATAAAAAATCCTTCTTCGTTTTTCGTTGTTTCATGACGTATGATCGGAAGGCCAAATTCGATTGTTTCCTGTAGTGGGAAAAGGCAAAAGTTGTGAAAGTGGATTATTTATTTCATCAAATAATACCTACTGTTTGGTCTGACTACGTTTTCCCTGCCTGTGACTTCTGTTTAAGATTTAGTACGTAAGATTTAATACATCAAAAGTTAGGACGAAGGGGGAGAGGAAAGAGGGAGGTACAACGCATCTCAATTGAGCATATGGATAGTAGTCACGAGTTTCGATAAAGATTCTTTTTTTGTTTGCATTTTGTGAACTTATTCTAATTGTAAAGTTTGTCTTACTGGCTTTTTTTTGCGGGCCTGAAACGGAAAATTTAGGTAATTTTCTCTGGAAGAAAACGTCATATTGTGTTCGAGAGTTATCTATGTTAGGAGGCTGAAATTTTCTGAGGATATGATGATGCGTGACAGGAACATTTGAAATTAATCTTACCCTCAAGCCCAGGTATTGTCTATGAGAAGGTGGTAGGAGCGATGTTAGCATCCATTTAACTGACGATTCAGAATATTTCGCAGTTGTACTTTTATGAAGATATTCGTTGTTCATGCGCGAGCTTGTATGCATAAGACTGGCATCTGCGACTCATTTCTCCTACTTGTATACATCAAATGTTACTTTCTGTGAGCAATCCTTTCCTCGTAAACATCTGCTAGGATGCAATTTTTTACGTATTGGTTACTCATTTCACTGTGATTCTCAATGCGCGAAGTCCTTCCCCATTGCTGTCATTTCTTCCCACACGCTTGACGGGTTTTAGCCACCAAATTTAGCTGGCAGGAGAAATTTCTTTATGAGCTCTTACACTTCACATCACACTATGCATATGGTTGTACTTCCCGTAATTATGCAAATTTGCATTATAAGTGATAGCAAAGCACTAGCGATATTCGTTTTTGCTGCAACAAGGGATATGGTTAACAAAAATAGCACTGTTTAGATAATTTAAACATAAAATCACAAATTTCTGCGTTAAAAAACACTGCTATAAAACATGGCGTATCAAAAAATATCCAAACTCAAAACAGTGAGACAGAAGCGCCTCGTCCAGGGCGATAGGTGATACCAGAGAGACACTGAATTTAAATTAGAGAGGTTGTACGTGGGTAGGGAGTCGCTACTGTAAAATTTCAGCTTCCTAGATTCCGTGGTTCCCGAGAAAAGAATTTCTCCGCCAGAGCGTAGATTCTTTGCCGATTGACTAAGTAACGTACATTTGGAGGAGAGGGGGGAGCGGTAAAGAACGGAAAGGATGAGAAAGTGTGCTGCTGGTTTTTACCGTAGATACCTGGGGTAGGGAAAGTTTGAACAGTGATTTTATAGTAGAGATGGAGAGGGTCATCTCTCACTATAGCGCGAACTAGTGCAAAAACGCATAATCGCTTCGGCCCATCTGGTGCGTGCCATGAATGATTAAAATTAAAAAGAGCGTGAAAATCACAGTACATTTAATCAAAATGACATTTTGCGCATTTATTTTTTTTTGTTACAAGTGGCGGTTAGAGGGTCGGAAAAATGCTTTAAAAAATATATGAGTTTGGAGAACTGCGAAAGGGGTACGAGAAGAATAAGCGGGGAAATGAGAGGGAGAGGAGGAGAATTTCTTTCTGTCGATGGTGATGATGATGATAAAGGGCAATGTGTTATTTTCCTAAGAACCGGTTTGCAAAACCGCAGATGAACGTTGTTGAGTGTAACGCGCCAGCAACAGCAGTAGCAGTAGCAGGTCATCTTCGCAAAAAACATCTCAAATGCTTCGGCTGTGAAACTGAGATGGTTGCGAGGACAAATTTGATGAGAAAGGGACACGGGGGGATTGCTTGATGATGGAATATGTCGGATTCGAAAGGTGTGGTCGGCTGGTCGGCCGGTGGTGCAAAAAAGCGACATTTCACGCTGCATTTCACCGTCGCACATTCAAGCGAATCAGCCCCCGCGGTACGACCATGAAAAAACAATGCGACCGAAGGACAGACAGTGTGCTTAGCAGTTGGAACCAAAACGATGCGACGGACTACACTGTGCCACACTGGTGGTGGTGGTTGTTGCTGTTGCTGTATCAATGTATGATGTACCTGGTGGACGGGGCATGCCGGGGGGAACATGCATACAGTGTGGGAGAAAAGGAGTGCAAGGGCACCAACCACCTGTAATTTCCCCTCCCTTCCAGAGGCGGGCAGGCAGCCGACAGCGCTCTGGAAGCAGCAGCAACAGCAGCAGTACTATCCAAGTGGAGCACCAAACTCCACCTTCCAACAACCACTGACGACGACGACGGTGCACCACCTTCTCATTCGAACACCACAGCACTGCCAGAACCAACGACAGCACCGCCAGGGAGCACCACACCATTCTACGACAGTTTACCGCAACTCAGAGCATCGCATCGAATTCGGTATCTCACTACTGCGCCAGTTCGGAAGTGACCGGCTGCAGCGTTGTGCTGCGCGACACGCTTCTTTTCCCGCATCTTGTAATACGCCGAACAACAGCCGCTTTCATCTAACTGCAGCAGTAGCAGCAGCAGCACATTAGCAGTACCTGTTTTTGTGCTGCGGTACCACTGGCTGGACATAATGTACAAGGTGCTGCGTTCCTATTCGAAGAAAGCTGAACGTAAGCATGAGCTTACTCGTTCGGCCGGAGATAGCGCAGCCGGCGATGCAGCAGCACTGCAGAATATGTCGTCATCCTATGCTGCAGCTGCTGATGATATTCGCAACGGGCAAGTGGTACCGGTAGATCGAAATGGCCGTATCGAAGCAGCCTGGGCCACTGGGCAGGCGTTTTCGGAGAGCTCATCCTATGAGGCACGAGAACATTTCGAGCGCAAAGTACAACGGGTCAAGAAAACACGTGGCGAACGAGACAGCAGCCGAAAATCGAAAAGGAGCAAAGTTGGTGGTTCTTCGCTTCCCATTTATATTTGCTGACCAATTCGGTGATCCACTAGCTCTCAGCGATATTGAGAAATAATTTCAAATGGAAAACTAAGTCTGGTTACGTCTGGCTTGTGACTACTTTGGTAACGTTAGAAGGCGAAACTTGTAAAGTGGGGGAAGGGGGGAGGGGAGAGGCGCGATCACAGATTGGTGATCTGGTTTTGTAAAGCCAACATTATTTAATCTCTCCAGTTCACTTAGTTTACTCAGTTTTTTTCTGTATTTGCATTTTACCGCACTTTTTGGGTCGTAAGTTATTGCTCGTTTTTATAGCATTTTAGACTACACATCAAGAGAGATTCCTGGAACTCTATTTTCATTTGTCTGCGTAAAAGCTATACACACACTAAATTTAACGTTTTGTCAATTTGAGTTTTTGAAAAAAAAAGCGCCTCCTTCGTGGTATGAAATATTTACGCATCAAATGGAATAGGTATAATGGACCGGAACATTTCTTACCATTATAATAATTTTATCAAGATATTTATTAAAATATTTTACAACTTTTGCTAATTTCTTGATATTACTTGCTTTTGTCTTTCAGCTTAAAAATATTTTCCTAATACACGTTATGGATGTTTTTTTTTACTGATTTGCAGTGCTAATTAATGTTGATTATAATTGCGAATTTCAGATAGTTTTCCTTCAGAGTGACTCATTCTATAAATTTGTTAAAGTGAATAAACTACTGCAGTAAAAGTGTGTTTGTGTGCGTACATGCGTATGTCTGTATGAGTATGTGTGTGTGTGTCTTTGCTGCTGTGTATGATGCGAGCATGCAATTGGAAATTGTGTGGGTGCACCGGCGTTATTGCATGATGGAAGAAATTGCGTTTGTGAATGAAAACACCTTCCAAATGGGATGGTAGAGGCGCAAAATAGTTTTGTGCTTTGCAGACTGCTGCAAATGATTTTTCGGGTTCCTTTTTTCGCTGAGAAGTGCGAAATTATTTGTTAGAAGTAACATAAAATGTCGTTAGTATTTCTTAACATTAGTAATGATATTTATTGAGGTCATGGTTTTTGATGCAAGAAAACTTTTGCACCGTAAAATATCATCTTACACATAACACCTGAGTACAGCCCTTCTGGTCTATTATTGCATGCTGACTGCGAAGAAGTAGAAGTTAGAGTTCGATTAAAAATGACATTCCCTCGGGAATCCCAGATATTTTTTGTGAAATTCATTCTGTTGATATGAGCTTCTCCTTTCAGGTCTCTGAGGTACTGGCAAGCGCTGACGGAGTTTCGGCACGAGACGCTCTGTTGCAGTGGGCCCAGGATGTCACTCGTGGCTATCCCGGTGTCAATGTACGGAATTTCACAAGCAGCTGGCGGGATGGCTTGGCTTTCAACGCTATTTTGCATCGCTATCGACCAAACCTGATTCAGTGGAGCAAAGTATGTGCACTTAAAACCGAGCACTGATTTTTTCACTTTCAATATTTCCTTTATGGATTGCATGCTTTCCCAAATGAACAGGCTTTTTCCTGTACTCCTTGCTGAAGAATTTCATAGATTTAATTTTTCCAAAAGCTTTTTCTCTGTAAATTTTTTAAGGGAAATGTCTGGAGGGAGGGGGTGGAGGGGGCGCTTAAATTCGAGTACTGAAGCCTTCAATGCCGAAAATTTTTTATGTCTTCGTAACAATTTTCGTCCATCATTATTGGAGCAACAGTTCATTTTTATCTTCTGAAAAGGTTATGTGTTTCTATACGCTTCGAATCGAATGCGCTTTTTGTATTTTCTGGTCTGTTACGGTCCAAAAGGTTGTACAAAACGGACATCCCTGATGTGTAGGAGCACCTATCAGATCAGTAACATAAGATCCCCAGATCGATCAAGCACTCTTGGCATTAGGGAACAATTTCTTAGCAAGGATTTCATCTTTCCTGTCTTCTCTTTGTTTATGCCTTTTTTTTTTCCTTTTTTTTTGTCTTTTTGTGTCTTGTCTTTGTTTGGGTCCTGGAAAAAAAGAGTGCTTTTCAGATCAGTGATGAAAGTGTATCAGCTCGCGATCGTCTGAACAATGCATTTGCTGCAGCAGAAAGCGAATTTGGTGTATCACGGCTGCTGGACGCTGAGGATGTAGATGTGGATACGCCGGATGAGAAGAGTATCATCACATACGTTTCCTCGCTCTACAATGCACTGCCACATACCAGCGAACTCAGCAAAGTTCGTTTTGTTTTGTCTTTTCTGCATTCACAGTGCTGCTTTTTCTGAAGGACATCAAAATTTTATGTACATTGGCGCAACAGATCAGAAGCTAAAGCTTGAAAAGTTGCTGCTTCATACAGCACCAGTGGCTCACTGCGGTATTTGCGTTTATTTCAAAAGGTCAGGAAATCATAGTCTTTGGTTTGGACA